GTTTTTAGTTCATAGGGCTTACCTCCGATTAATCCCAGTCAAAATCCTCTTCAATTCCCGTCCAAAAGTTCTCAAGGATGTTCAAAAATGGTGAAAATAGGGCTCCGCTTGCGGATGAAATATTTATTAAACCCTTCTGTCCAGCACTGGAATTCCTTCTTCGCGAACGCGGTCAAACCCACGCGTTCGCGATGCACAATTTTTCTTGACCCAAAAATAACCCTTCGCGAACGCAACACCTTACCCACGAACGCGATGCTCTGACTCTTAAACCTACGCGAACGCGTACAATCTCATGCGAACGCGAAGCACAACTACTCCTGGACCCAAAGCCTTATATGCGATCGCGAACATTCACCTGCGAACGCGAAGCACAAGCTGCTCACCTTCCGCAAACGTGAGCCCTCAGAAGCGAACGCGAAGCACAAACTCAAGCCAACCCAAATTCCTTCTACGCCATCGCGAGGGACCTCACGCGAAGATTAATTCTTCTGCAACAGCTGATGATCAATTTCTGCAACATTTTTCAACTCCAAACTTCCCGTTAGCCATCCGAAATCACCCCGAGGCCCCCGGGACCTCAACCAAAAGCACCAACACCTCCTATAACATCATTCAAACTCGTTCCATTCATCAAAACACCTCAAACAACACCAAAACCACCAAATTACATCGGATTCAAGCCTAAGTTCTTCTAAAACTTCTGAAACACGCATTTGATAAAAAACCCAACCAAAACACCTCCGAATGATCTAAAATTTTGCACACACATCCCAAATCACCTAACGAAGCTACAGCAATTCTCGGAATTCCATTCCGACCCTCGGATCAAAATCTCACCTATCAACCGGAAATCGCCAAAATACTAACTTCGCCAATTCAAGCCTAATTCTACACCGGACCTCCAAAATCACTTCCGATCACACTCCTAAGTCACAAATCACCTGACGAAGCTAACCAAATCATAAAAACTCCGATCCGAGCTCATATACAAATAAGTCAACTCTTGGTCAAACCTTCAAATTCAAAGCTTTCAACCAAAACTGTTCTTTCAAATTCATTCCAAATTTTCCTAAAAACCAAAACCAACGATCTACATTAGTCACAATACATAACACGGGGCAAGTCATGCCCGAGAACTGGCGATCAAAGTGCAAAAGCTCAAAACGACCGGTCGGGTCGTTACAATAACAAAAGAACTATGTGTGTAAAAGAAAGTGTACATGTGGTTTTTGATTAAACTAACATTCTTTCTGAGAGACAGGAACATGAAGATGAAGCAATTGGGCCGGTAAGAAGTTTAAATGAAATCACAGCCCAGACTGAAGCTGCACCAGAAGAAGGAACAGGTGATGGAACAGGTTCTTCTACTCAGGGCAACCTGATAGGGGGAATTGAATAAAGAGGAACTGAATCTCAAACCTCGATGGAACCTACCCATGAACCTGTTCCACAGCAATAAAGCATTGAAAGAACATTAAAGGGAAACCAGTTGGTTGTGTAATCTTACAAGTATCAAAGTTCTCATCCCATTGAGAATATAATCATTGACCCAACCTCTGGAATCAAAACCAGATCTTTATTAAAGAATCTTTGTGCTTTTGATGCTTTCTTATCTCTTATTCAACCTAAAAATGTTGTTGAGACTTTACAGGATGCATATTGGGTAAATGTAATGCAAGATGAACTCAACCAATTCGAAAGGAGTCGAGTTTGGCATCCAGTACCAAGACCCAAGGACATATCAGTAATTGGCACAAAATGGGTCTTCAGAAACAAAAGCCTTAAGTAGAGATCACTTTGAGAGGAACAGGTTGGAATTAGGGATGATTAAGATCACCTAAAAGGACCAGTTCAAAGTTAAATGGAAAAATGAAAAAAAATTATTATATTTGAAAAAAAACAATTATTATTTAGAAAGTCTGTAAATTTTGTATATAATTAGATTAAATCTTGCTCAGTCTCATACTTTCAACAGTATACTCCTGTGTCATGTGCTAAAATGACTCATTAATCTCTAATGATATTTTCTCTATTTTGGCAAATTTAGACTTACACAAGAGAATTTTCAGTGAAGAACCTGGTTGATCAAGATAAATAGGTATGTTTTCTGCACTCTGCATAAATTGAAATAATTATATTTGGATCATGAGCAGAGTCCTACCTAATTCCAAACTCCTTTTGGATTTATCCGTTACAAGTGAACCAGTCCCGTTCAAAAGAGTCCCAACCGAATGGAAGTACCTAGATTCCAAGGAAACACTCCAACGTCTCTTCAAAATTGAATTTCAGTTTGATTAAACTTCTAAGCATCTGAAAAGCTGTAGTTACCCCCATCAATTATTCCTCTGTATATTGATCAGCTTTAGTGTATTCCTTACTTAATCTCTCTCAAGCCGTCAAAAACTCTCATTCTTCTTTCATCTTCCAAACACAATCTAATTCTCTTCTCTTCCATACCCTAGCCTAGATATGTCAAACACCTCTAAAAATCCTTCATCACTACCAGAGGAAACCACTTCCACACCTTCTACCACTGCTTCAACCACACCAATCTCTAAGAAAAGTAGAGTAAAGATGATGGCTCGTAAGATTGTCGTTGAAGGAGAGCAAATCAAGAAAATAAACAAGCAATTGAAAGCAGGTAGGGAAGTAGAATCCTAGAAATCTGAAGATTTATTTAAGTCTGCTACTAAGGGGAAGAGAGTAGGTATTCCAAAACTGAACATGTATCTTCTGATTCTAAAGTTACTCCTGAGACAATTTCTGAAGTTGCTACAAATTTGGAGAATAGATTTGTACTGGTAGGATCTATAGCAGGTGTTGAGACTACAGAATCTGGAGAAGTTGGTGGTAAAAATAAAAAGGGAAAATCAAAAGAGAGCAAGGGTGCTAGGAGTACTGTGAGGGGAAAGGGTACAAGAGTGGCTGATTCTTCACCCACTCCTGTTGGTCTAACAAAAGAAACTGGGGCAAGGGTTGTTTGGGGAGAGGAATTTACTGAAATAGAAGAGAGTGTGAGCAAAACAGGGGAAAATGGGTCTGGCGAAGCTGCTGGGGGTTGGTTCAACTTGGAAAAATATAGATGAACCTGTTCCATCTGAACAAAAAACCCTCACGGACCTACTCATAGGTTATCAATGGCACCAAAACTCATTCCATTCCCTATGGCTTCATTCTCACAACTGTACTTGCACATGTTAAGGTACCTATGAAGAAGTGGGAGATTAGTACAAGCAAGGATCATTTTGGGGTTAATACTCTGCTTGCTTGCGATTATGAAGTCAATGCCAATCCTAATGAACCTGGTTCATCTAAAAAGACACCAATCAATAGCAAAGTCAGAGACTTGGTATAGGAGAGTGAGGCAAAGGATGCTGAGATAGCAAGGCTGAAGACACGATTGGTTGAGGTAGAATCTGAGAGAGATGTTCTCAGAACTGAACTTGCAAGGGAAAAGGAAAAGAATGATGGAATTCTTCAAGATATGCTGAAACTTCTCCAAGCAAATAACCCAGCCCCTACCTCTTCCAAGCCTTAAATCCTAGCCTAGTGTAGATCAACCAGTGACCCAATTCGGGACTTTTTGTATCTTTTGCTCACGTTTTCAGTATTTTTATTTCTTCTTATGCTTTGTAGCAGAATCTTATCAATCATCAATGAAATTCACTGTTTTTGCTCTAACTGTTTGTTTATATTTCTTTGACGGTTGAAATTTTTAGCTTTATCTGTGATGATTAATCCATGTTTGCATTTGAAGTAGCCCCAATGGCCATGAGTAAGCTTTAAAATCTGGTTATCTCACATTTTTATGCAACTTTTCGATGATTCCAAAAGGGGGAAAAGAAGTTGTGCTTTATACTCTGAACAGTGATATTTATAGCCTAATGTACCTGGTCCTCGATGATAAGTGATAAAAAGGAAAAATGTTTCTAACAATGTGTTGATGTTGAGCTGAGTTGAAACAAGTCCTAAGCTTATGAAAATCATAGAGTTTGTCATCATGAAAAATAGGGAATTTGTTGGCCCAAGTAAAGGTTAGTTTTAAAGACTGACAAAGGAACTCAGGCATGAACCAGGTCCATCCCTTATGTGCATAGAAACGGGCAAATTCGAGCATGTGGGATTCACATGAAAGAGATAAGCTTAACTTGGTGTATTTAATATCTCCTGATCGAAAAGGTTACATAATTGATAAGGAGAAGGACTCCTTAATCAAATAGAACAGTATCCAAGATAGGGAAGGAGTTAGAAGTTGAAATCAACTAGAACTCCTCCACCAAGGAAGAGTAGCATTAGAACTCTAGTTATTTCTTCACCTACTAACTCTATAAATTGCAGGATGTTCTCACTTTACAGTGTTGCACAAACGCAGAAGTTAAACGTGAATTGAGAGCAAAATAGCAAGGCAATTTTGCAAGCAGTTCGTGTGTTATTCAAGTGTGCAAATCTGAAGCTACGTGAACCAGATAGAAGAACCAGTTCCAAGTGTATGTCTTTTATTCTAGTTCAATTGTAGTAGGTATTTTCATGTTGTACCTTTCAGCTTTATCTAGAGGCAATTGTAATAGGTACTCAGAGTATTCAAGTTATAGTTAACTTGAAGTTGTCGCGACAGTTAGAGGCTGTGTGCTACAACGGGGTTAGAGGTAATCCTTGGGTTTACAAAGAGTTTTGTAAATGCTGTTTTAGCTCAGTGATTTAGTGAAGTGTTGGGGAAAATCTTACTGAGTAGTAGCTCGTGGTTTTTTCACCTTTTGAGCCGAGTCTTTTCCACGTAATAACACTTGTGTTCTTTACTTTCTGCATTTATTATTCTGCAACAGTAGTATAAGGAACACATAGAAGAACCAGGTCCTTCCAAAATCAGTTTAAGCGAAAAATTGAACACCACACAAATCACCCCTCCCCCCTCTTGTGTGGTATTAAAGTATAAAATATCACTTGTTAAAGTCTTATGTGCTTGATTACTGAATAGAAATAGCTAGTGTTGTCATCACCTAGCTTCACCCATGCAGCTTTGCTCCTTTGCTGCAATAGTACTTCTGCCATGTATGATTTTTGCCTAAATTTCTGATATGTTTCTTTCTCTAATTGCATCAGTGTGGTGTCTGCTGGTTGCATCTGTACTGCTATTTGTATCTGTTGTAGTTCTTCCCTCAAGTCATTGACTTCATCCACATAGTTCTGATATCTCCTTGCTTCAATACTTTTAATTTCCTTTTCAGTAACTTCAGTTTCTTCACTACTTGCAACATAACACGTTCTTCAATCTGTTTGTGCCATCCTTCCTTTACTATCTCCAGGAAGTGAGGATGTTGTGACCATGTATTACAAAACTTAAAAGGTCTTTTTCTTGTCAATGGAGCACTGACTAGGTGAACACTAATTGGGCAGTGATCACTTACTGCTTCGAGCAAGAAAGTAACATTATATGTAGGTATTCTGTCCAGCCAATCCTTGTTGATAAACACCCAATCAGTCTTTGAAAAATTTATTTGATCTCCACTTCTGTCATTTCATGAGTATTTGTTCCCATGCTGTGGCATTTCAATTAAACTACATGTTTCTACACACTCATGAAAATCTCTGATTTCCCCTACAGTAATAGGAAGACCTCCTACTCTATCATCCATTTTCAACACTGTATTAAAGTCACCCATGATGATCTAAGGTTCTTGATACCCTTGACATGTAGCATTAATGTAGTTCCAGAGCTCTTTCCTTTCCTCCCTATGGTTAAAAACATATACCACAGAAATGAAAAATGTTCTTTGCCCAGTCACATGATGCACTATGCATGTAATTGCTTGAGTTGTCTTGCTCTGGACATTAAGCTGAAAGTAGTCTTGTTTCCAAGTGAGCCACACCCTCCCATCTTAATGCATATCTAGGTTGGTTACATAGGTTCAACCATCAAACATACTACTAGCTACCTTATCTATTTTATTGACTTTTACTCTAGTTTCTAGCTAGTAATTCTATCAATCCAGCTTCTTGCTTATTGTAAAGGAGTTTAACCTCCTTTTGCTTATTTTGCCCATTAAGGCCTCTTACATTCTAGTAAAGTAGACTATCCATTCCCCACGCTGGGCATAAATTTTCCTCCCACAGTATTTGCCTCACCTTCTTGCAGCTGCTTACTTGTCCCTGATTCTGCCAGCACCTGAAATGTGTTGCATGTTGCCTTCCCTGCCTGCTAAGTGATGTGTGTTTGTTATTTAATTGTATGCAATGGTGTGATCCATCCTTCATTCACCTTGTTCTTCATTTTTCCATTCATTTTCTTGGGACTTCTAACACTCTCCTCTGGTTGTTGTTTTTGGTTCCCAGTCTATCCTGCCAAGCTAGAAGTTGTAGCTGCTTGCTGTGCCTTAGCATTCTTTGGCTCAGCTTCCTTTTTCCTTATTTGGTTGGATTAGTTTTAGTTGGTACTGCAGTTGGCTTCTTCTTTCTACACTCTTCCTTATTGTGCCCATACTTGTTACAGTACTTGCACAAGCTAGGCTTCCAATCATACATAACCTTCTGTTCAATCAAAGATCCCTTCTCATTCCTGAACCAAACCTTGTCTGGCAGTTGTGCTTCCATTTCTACCTCAATCAACATGCGAGCAAAATTAAGCCCAGACTTCTTTTCTGTATTCTTATCAACCATAAGAGGTTTCCCTACTAAACTTCCTATTTTACCCAATCCTTTTGGGCTCCAATATTTAAAATCCGATCCTGGCAGTCGCATCCATATAGGTACTGTGTATATCTCCTTACACATTGTAGCATCACCATGTACTTTTAGGGAGATAAATTCTAGTTTAAATCTTGCATTTGAAATCTTACCAATGTCAAAGTTGTCCCACACAGAATTCTTCTTCTCTTCTTCCTCCATTGCTTCGACTTCCTCCGCCCAAGAGAGCCTAGGGCTAGTGTTTGGCCTCTGCACAACCTCTGTCCATGATTTTGCTGGCGATGCTACTGTTCCATTGGTTTCCTGTTCCTTCGCGACTGGTGTCGTATCATTCATCGACTTACTGCTTCCGTCAACTACTTGAACTTCAATTACATCCTTCTTCTGCTGAAAATGACCACGCGATTTGTTGCTTGAGCTAGGAGAGCCTTCTGGGATGGTACACGAGCTCTTTTTTCCATGGATGGCACACATTAGCAAACCTGCACCGAGAGAGTTTTCGTGCCCTAGTCCCTAAGATAACATGTTTCTCGCTTGTTTGTTCTAGGTTATGATAACATCCATCGCTTGCTCATTTACTCGCTTGTATAATGAGGTTGTGTATTAGTACAACTAACTTTAGTTCTGAATTACGTATTATCGTCATGACACGCTATATGCGGTCAATATTAAATAACATTTACCTTAAAAACACACAAATTCGTGGTAAATATTTAGTGACAAACATACCTAAACAAACATTATATGCAACACATATCCCATGCAAAAGAAAGTATATATCATACACGTTGTATGGATAGATACTAAGTTTCATACATTTATGCAATTAAGGAACAACATTGTCAGGTTGGGCAGTGACAAAATTAAGAATTTATACGGTGACATTCAAAAAATATAAAGATATCACACTTGGGAATTAAGCTTGTGACCTCTAAAGTAATTTTCGAACACACTTTACTGTTTTACTAGAATTTTCTCTTATGTCAATAGGCAAAAAAATTGTTCTTAACCTATTTATATATTGGTGTAATTCTTCAATAAAGAGGATTCACCCCTTTCTTCCACCTATAACTAGCTCCGCCACTGTGGTTGGGTGCGAGAAAATTGTTGTTTGCAAGAAAAAGTTCCTATTATCTGGAACAGTTTCTGACTAGTTTTCTTCATCTTCATTTGAAATAAGCTACGTATTATTAATTGGCGAATTGTGCTGTCTTTAAAAATTCTAACCTACTTTATTTCTAAAGAAAATCAAATTAATTAAAGAAGACCCAGTCCAAATATAATGTAAACCGTCTGGTTACTGTGCTTATTATATTTTAGTATACAAATTTCAATTTATTCCTTAGTTTTTTTTGTAAGTAATTGCCAATTGCTCACGAAATAAGACAATTGCCATTGAAATTATGCAACAATAAGTTGTTTATGTAAAAATAAGTTAATGGAAAAATTGAGACTTACAGCACCCTCTTTGAGACACACTACGCTAACGGTAGGAATATATTTAAACGGAAAGTAAACAGAGGATAAGTGTAGACTACTTACAATAGTACATATACAAGAGCAAATCTGGTCCTTTTCCCTTTTCGAAAATTATGTCTATATGCCCATTAAAACTTATCAAAGAAAATAAAAATTACCCCTCTGGGAGAACAATCTCTTTGTTTTATCAAGCATGTTTTTTTTCTCTTCTTAATTCTACATACTATGATCGATAGCTAGCTCAATGGCATTAAGGTTGAAATTTTACGGTACATTATATTTGTTTCGTCTGTCAGAAAGAAAAAAACTAAATTTTTGGTCAGGTTTTTCATTTTTAATCAATTAGGTGAACATTTGAATGGTCAAGTAATATTACTTTTATTCTACCCAAAAAAAAAAAGAAAAAACCTTTTATGTAAATACAGCACAAACCGTTCAAATGTTTGTTTGTGGCGTTTGGGGTGGGGCGCGTGAAGAAATTAAATCAACGCAACGCTTGTGGTGAACATTGCTTCACAATTTTTCCTTAAACAGTGGCAATCACAAATTAGATTTAAAATGCAAATAAAGAAATTTAGTCAAATCTTAGATTCTCTTTATAAATTCAATAACAATAGTTCCAAATTGTTCTTATATCATTAATATCGAAATTCTGTATTAGTCAAGTTTTGACTTGGCTGTTCACACGATAATGTCCAAATTTAGCCGTAGCCAGATAGATTATAATTAATTTATTTATCTAATATATAGAGCTATTTTTGGTTTTATAATGATTTTTAAATGTTTAGATTAGATCATTTTTTATTTTCAACAAGAGTACACTAATTAATGACTAGGCTCTTCTTGTATTTTTGTGCGGATTAGTTACTACAACTAGAAGTAAATCTAATTATATGTATCTATTAAATGAAATACCGTTGTAATTTTTGCTTGACAGAGTGTATATAATAACATCTATATTGTTGTAAATCATCTCCATTCTGTAGAGGCGCCTTGTAAAAGGTATGAAGGTTTACATTTCCTCCCTTTTTTTTAATAGACATTTGTAATGAATTTATTTTGTGTGTGTGTGTGACACTGCTATTTGTCTCTTAAAATCATCAAGTGTAATAAAATATTTGTGACTTTTTGTTATCAGATCGACAAGTTTAATTTGAAAATGAGTTTTTCTGCGGGTGCAAGCAATTCGGTCCAAGGTAAATTTATCAACTCTAGACTTTAGATTGATATAGGCTTATTATTTTAATTATAAAATTCTTATGAGTTGGTGGAATGTTGTGGTTCCATTCCGTGGTGTTGGGTTCACTTTGGTTGTTTGTTTATTTATTTATTTTATATTCGTGTACTAGTTACATCTTTTCTATAAATCAGATGTCTATTAAGATTTACTCTAAAGAACAAGGCACGATCTGACAAGTAAAGTTTAAAAAAAATGTTTCTAATATATAAAAGGGTAACCCTTTGTGTTTGAGTTCCACCTTTTTGAATGGAAAAATGAATTTCTCGATCTTAAATCAAAGGCCAAAAATGAGTTAGATCATTAAAATACCCTTTAAAATGGTAAAAACGTCCTTCAACTATAAGGGACAACTAGATGTTTTATCAAGCAAAAAGTGGAAATTAAATACCTAAAATTACCCAATAATGGTGTATAGAAATGAGTAGTACTCCTAATGTTTTGAGTTAAGGAAATAATACATTTTGAAAACCTAATAAGTATTCTACCCGAAATTGGCTAGTTGAAAAAATTCAATACTAGTACTATCATTTTTATTTTATTTTAACAAAAGGTATATGTTACAATTCATACTAATTGAGGGGTTTTTCTCCTTTTTATATTCAAAATACATATAACGAACCAACTCATTTTTGCCATTGATTATTTATAGTCACTGGGTTTATTGGCCTACAAACCAAAAGTAAAAAGGTTAAGAGAGATAAGTGTAAATTAATTTACTCTATATAAAAAGATATACAAAATTAGTTTTTTTTGTGTGTGAGGCATTCCACAAACTGCTATTTCCTATCACGTACATTAGTGTTTGCGATGTCTCCCACTCCCCATTTCTCTCGTATGTACAGTTATTGATCATAAACTTACTTTCTAGAACACACGTAGTTCTAAAGAGCATAAACAAAGAAGATTATAACTTTAAATTTTAAAACCAAAGAATTATTTATATTTCTGGTTCGCTAATTCTATTTCTTTAGAATAAGAAATGTTATTGCTTGAAAATTTCTGTAATCTAATAGTTTTTTTTTGAACCTTTATTTTGATGACTAGATTCCAGTGCAATCATCACTATCAGCTCTGATCATGAAGGTGATTCATCAAAAACTAATGGGCTGACAAGTGTTGCTGATAATGAGGTAAGTCTCTATATATTTTATTATGACTTGAACTCTCTTGTTAATATAGTCTTACCTTGACAAATATAGTAAATTGTGTGCTAATTAGTGAAAAAGGATTTACATCTGAGTTTGAATGTTTAGATTAAAGAGCCTTTTAGTTTGCGAATAGTTAAAATAGAACATCGTTTAGGCTTTGATACATTTAATGAACTCGTTCTTAAAAATTTAAAATAGGTTTTTGCTCTATATAATGAATTCATTCTTAAAGAATAGGGTTTTGCTCCATTTCCACTTGAGATGATTAATTGTAAGGTTAATGCAACGAATCTCGGCGCTAAACAAATAGCGCAGGAATTCAACTAGAGAATAAGCAAGAAAATGAACTTGATCTTTTTAAAGATGAAGTTTGCCCATCAAATTGAAATATCTAAAGCCATAGCAATTTCTAAGCGGGATTGAACTTGGACCATCTTCCTCTATACAATAACAAGAACAACAATAAACTCGGTATAATTTTACAAGTGGGTTTCGAGAGAGTAGTGTGTACGCAAATTTTACCCTTACCTTATAAAGATAAAGATGTTATTTCCAATAGACCCTCGACTCGAGGAATAAAAACATTTTGCTCTACCTTGTCCTTTATTTCCTCTACCTCTTCCGAAAGATTTCCGTGTCTTTTATGCTTGAAAAACTATAACTGGTCAGTTTGCACTTGTTCACCATCTATTCCCCTCTCATTATCAAACACTCCTTAAGGCATTGACACTTGAGTTATGTTTCCTTTTTAATCCCTACTCGGTGTCTAATACCTGCTTTAAAACCTAACTAATCTGAATTCGCGTGGGGAAGTCTCGCTTTGGGGATCAAACCCTTCCCGTCAAAGGGCCAACAACTCGAATTCGAGACCTATCATAAGGACGATGGAATACTTACACCCCACCAAAACTTTTGATAGTTCGATAGTTCGGACCTCGGTCTTGACTTGAGTTAAAGTTGGATATGGTGGGGTTTTCCGCTGTTCTTAGGATATTGCATTTACTTCCTAATTCCTAACAAAGCTTATAACTTTACAACCTTCATCCAAGGGCTTGTGTATAGCTGCAAGCTATTACACATTCCTTTGAATTCCTTGATGTATTTGTGACCACTGTTTTTTTTCGTTTTGGTGCTAAGCAATTGTTGCTTCACTAGAGACTCCTTGTCCTTTGCTGACATGTAGGTAGTTGTCCTCAAACCATACAATAACAATAACATATATACCCGGTGTAATTATACAAGTAAGGTCTGGGAATGATAGTATATATGCAGACCTTTACCCCTTACCTTGTGTGAGATAGAGAGGCTATTTTCGATAAACCCTCGTATCAAAGAAAAACAAAGCAACTTTGAAAAAATAAATAGTGGTGAAAATGCCATGTTGGAAATAGTGGAGAAGAAAATAGTAACGACAACAAATAAAAATAATAGGATAGCCAACGTAAAGGAAACAACAGGTAACATAAGAAATTAGAATAGGATAATACGAGAATAATACTAATATGCCGATACATAGAAGGAGGAGCAGATGAGGTGCTCCAAACTGTTGCCATGCCTCTTACATACAGGGGCGGAGTTAGCCTTTCGCTTACGGGTTCGACCGAACTCAGTAGCTTTGGTCCAAACCCTATATTTATCTTATGAAATCCATTAAATATGTTTAAATTATTAATTTAGAACCTAGTAACTTAAAATAACTATAATCCTGAACCCATAGATTTAAAATCCTAGTTCCGCCTCTGCTTCCACAGGAAAGTGAGACATTGCTCCTCGGCCACCTACTAACCTTCCACCATAATCCTCGGCCTCCAATTCATATTCTCCTATCTAGGGTCATGTTCTCTGTAAGCTAAAGATATGTCATGTCCTATCTAATCACCTCACGTCAATACTTCTTCGACCCATGCACATTCACCTCTCCTTAAACCTACTATTGTCAACCTCTCACACCTCCTTACTGGGGCATGCATCTATGAGCCGATTCTTTATTAGCACACTCCTTCCACGCTGAATATTTTAATTGGGTTGGGATTTTCTTCTCCTTTTTCATTGATGTCAATAGCAGGTAAGGTATCGCCAATCACAAAATATTTTACCTTCAATATCTCTGTAAGCTGTAGCATTTAAATTCTTCATATATAGTAGTTGGAGGCTTTTAAATTGATAGGACTAAGCGTGATGAGTTGATGGAATAATGAAAGTGATAAAGTCAAAGTAGTGATTGTAAATGAAGCTATGTTTGGGAATTGTGATTATAATAAAACTTCAAGACAATGTTCTTTGTCTTGAGCCTAAGGCTCCTATACCTTGGTGAAGATTTAAACAGTAATAAAAACTAATTACTGTAGGAAGTAATTTGGAGGAATATTTTTCTCCAAGTTCTCTATACGGCTGAAGTAGTTTATTCACACATCTAGGTTGATCACAAATTTTCTTCCTATATATACAATGTGTATTTAGTCAGAATCCTACATAATTGACTTCTAAATAACCAAGAGTAGTGACCGAGGGTATTGTTAAATAATGAATATATGAAAATGCAGATAAATATATCCAATTAAGAGTAATTAAGATGCATTTAACATTCTTAAGTGACAAGCCTTACAAATAAAAGAAGAAAAACTGTATGTGACTTTGTATATTTCGCTTATATTAATTTTTTTTTGAAATTTTAATACTTCTACTTTTTTACTCCATTCTGGAAAATGTAATCGTTCCTGCATTTTTTAGACTTGAATATGCATTTCTATGGAGACGTATACATTCTTCAACTTTCCCCATATCTAATCTTTTTTAGATCAATCTTTTGACACCTACATACATCTTCGATGTTTCTGATAATGCTGCATTATATTATAAGTTCTTTACTGTAACACTAAGTTTAATTAATGTAACTATCAACTATGCTCTACTTGCAATTGCATGTGCTCTAATTCTGTAATAAGCTATATTACAAACTATTTGCATGCGGGTATAAATCTGTACATGTGGTTTACTTTTTGGGTGTGTTTGCCGTTTGGTATGAATGAAAATATTTTTCAATTTTTTTATGTTTGGTCAACTTAAATATTTTGAAAAATTCGACTTTTGTACCAAAAGGAGGGAAGATATATTTCTAAAACTTATTTATACCTTTCCTAACTCAGCCTCCACCTGCCACCCCCACCCTCCATCCCACCCTTTCCAAAAAATATTTTCTGTTACCTAATCAAACACCAGAAAATAAGTAAAAATACCACTTAATTATTTTTAAGAAAATATTTTTCTTCCCTCCAAACACACTAATTTGTTATCAGTTGCTACAAATATTACTAGTATTTTTAACTACTTGGATCGTTTGGAAACTCATGTGCTCAAAATTGCACCTCTACCACCTGTAATGACTTTTAGTATTTAAATTTTATATTTATCCTTTGGCTTGATAAAAACAAGAATCAAAATTTACTCAAAAGAAAAGAAGAAGATATAAATCACTTCATTTTCCAGATATTTATTTTCTTTCTTTCCTAAGATTATCCATAGTAGTAAGATAATGTTTATTTAACCCTGATTAAACAAGGTGAAGCAAAATAGCTAAAATATATACATTTTACTTTGACAGTCAATTCTCCGATTCGTCGACTTTAGCGAAGAAGCTGAACCGGAAGACATTACTAGCAAGCCAATTGCCTCTGAGCCTCCAAAACGGCACATGATTGGTTTTCCTCCGCCAAGGTAAATGCACGCACTTACATTTATAATTTTAATTTTTTTAAAGCTTAATTATCACATTTTTTAATTTAATTTTGTGTTGTTAATTTGGTACGTTATTATAGGAGAACTGATGCAGGGAAAATGCCCGCATCAGCTGAAAAATCAGAAGCAAGTCCGAAGAAACCTTACAGAGCACTAATGATGAGAGCTATTAATGATTTTGGAGTTACGAAGGAAAAGAAGAAAAGAGCTAAGAAGTCATCAAATCTGAAAAGGAAAAGAGCAGCAAAGTGAATCCCTTAATTAATTCTTCGGAGAAAACTTTAATCATAGACTCTAAATACCCGAAGAACTAGTTGGTTGTTTTGTTTGTTTTGCATGCCCATGATAACTGCTTTTATCGGATCTTGATTATCCTTTTTGTGACCTTTGAAGTCATGGAACTCATGTTGTTGTTGGTATCTCTCAGTTAAACTTTTAGCTTTATCATCAGATTGAGTTTTGGAAATTACTTGCGGCAGTTTGTGTTTTGCCAAATTATAATTAGTTTGTGTTTGATCAATTTTTTCAAAAGTATGTTTGAACTAGATAAACAACATTGTTTGGCCAAGCTTTTAAAATGAGCTTTTTCCGAAAAGTGATTTTTTAAAAAAACTTCTGAGAAGTAATTTATGTTTCGTTATTTAATTTGAAAAACACTTTTAAACAATAGTTAGTGCTTGACCAATCTTTTAAAAAGTATTTCTAGATATATTTTTTTTCAAATGTACTTATCAAAAAAGTGCTTTGGGGAGAAACTATTTTTTCTGCTTCTCAAAAATACTTTTTTTTACTTCTAAAGGCTTAGCCAAATATTTAACTTTGAAAAAAATCCTTTTAGCTGAAAAAAAAAAAAGAACTTATGGCCCAAGAAAAACTTGGTCAAGCAAGCTAAAAATTAAAAATAATTTTTGCTTCTGCCTTCAAGGAGAACCTATTTTATTTAGTTTCTTCCCAACAGTAGAAAAATAGCTTTACTACTATTGAGAAGAACTTACCTCTTTCAAAAGTTTGACCATACACCTCTCTTTCCAAATAAGCACTACTAGTTTCCTAGAAATTAAATTTGACAAGTTAATTATTATAAGTCAAAAACTATACTATGTTTTTTCTGATTTTTTCAACTTCACTTCTGTTTAGAGTTTTTATTTAATAGTCTTTTCTCACTCCCTCTCTGCAGTACAGCATATTAAAATTCTCTAGGTCCTAAGTTCTTGAGAAGAAGGCATCCATGAACAGACATTTGCGAGATTTTAATTAGGAAACACACCCGAAGGAAATAGTCTTATACTACCTGCTTATTTCTAGGCAACCATATATATATATTAAAACTATATATATATATAATTATATATATATATATATATATATATATATATATATAGAGTCAAATTGACTACTGTAATTAGGGATTGGAGTCAAATTGAAGAGAGAATACAAAAGGAAGACGGAAGAAGCTATGTTACCTCAATTTAGAATGAGTACATGGACAAGCTTATATAGCTGATGTTCTCTTCTCTATCACGTGCTTCTTACGTGATTCTAACTAACTTCATCAACTAACAATTAATAGCTAATTATTGACAGCTCATTAATCACTAACTCCTTCTAACAACTAGCTAACAGTTATGAGATGCTCTTCTAGCTGCACTCCTCTGCTTTGCGCATATACATTCCAAT